GGAACAGGATGCTGGCGTTGATAGGCCATTGGTTCCATTGGCTTGGTTCTAAAATGGGCAGGCCGAGTCAGAGACCCAAGAGATGACATATGACAGGCAGAAGCATTTTTGCTGCCTCTTTCTCACCCCAAAGTGGGTTAGAGGGCTGACTACCATTGAGGAAGTGTTTGGTCAGACATCAGACATAAGGTAATGTGGACCGTTAATAACTCAGTCTTATGTCAAGGAATTAGACAGCAAAAAGCAGAGACATCACCTTGCCAACAAAGGTCCGTATAGTAAAAGCTATGGTTTTCCCAGTAGTGATGTATGGAAGTGAAAGCTGGACCATAAAGAAGGCTGATCGCCGAATAATTGATGCTTTTGAATTATGATGCTGGAGGAGACTCTTGAGAGTCCCATGGACTGCAAGAAGATCAAACATATCCATTCTGAAGGAAATCAGCCCTGAGTGCTCACTGGAAGGACAGATCGTGAAGCTGAGGCTCCAATACTTTGGCCACCTCATGAGAAGAGAAGACTCCCTGGAAAAGACCCTGATGTTGGGAAAGATGGAGGGCACAAGGAGAAGGGGACGACAGAGGACGAGATGGTTGGACAGTGTTCTCGAAGCTACCAGCATGAGTTTGACCAAACTGCTGAAGGCAGTGGAAGACAGGAGTGCCTGGCGTGCTCTGGTCCCCGGGGTCACGAAGAGTCGGACACAACTAACTGACTAAACAACAACAACAATGTCAAGGAATAGCTTGCTAAGCTAAGCACCCTTGCAACCACACAGCATTGGCACCGGCAGCTTGCACTGCTACAGGAATGCAGTTCTGGCATCACAGACGTGCAGCTGTATGATACCTGGCATAGCATGTGAGGGAGGAGCATCTAGCTGGCCCACTCCCAGTCACCTTATTGTGCCAATACAGTGCCTTCGATCCAAAAGCACAGCTGCTAGTTCAAAAACACTGCAGTATAGTCAGTGCACAGCTGAGCAGAACAACCAGCAGACACTCCCCACATTCACACGCAAGAGTGTTTATTAAAAATGTTTCTATGCTGCTTTTAATTTACAAAGTAACACCAGAGCAGTTCACATAATAATAAAATGTATTAATAAGCCAAGCTGTGCCAATCTGCTTTACACCCGGTCTCTATATCCCTGCCCAATCTTTTTTCATTTTTCCACTGAGGCACATTCGACACTGCCTGGCGGTGTTGGAAAACAAGAAGTTGGGCATCTAGTGTGGTGGCACAGGCATGATGGAACACTCTACCTAATGAAATTAAGTTGGTGCCTTCTTTAATGAGTTTTAGGTGCCAAGTTAAGACTTGATTATCTCGGCAAGCCTTCCTATGAAAATGACCGACAGTTTCTATCACATTCTTGTCAGGTGTTCTTCTGTTTCTTTAATGTACAGTGGTACCTCGGATTACAAACACCTCGGATTACAAACATTTCAGGTTACAGACTCCGCTAACCTGGAAGTAGTACCTTGAGTTAAGAACTTTACCTTAGGATGAGAACAGAAATCGCTCGGCGGCAGCAGCGGGAGGCCCCATTAGCTAAAGTGGTACATCAGGTTAAGAACGGTTTCAGGTTAAGAACGGACCTCCGGAACAAATTAAATTCAGAACCAGAGGTATCACTGTACTTTGCTTTGATTTTATTTGTTATGTTGCTTTGGCTAATTGAGCTGCCCTTTATATAAGTTTGTGATATAGATATTAATAACTAAAAATAAAACTGGTAAAATTATTAACAGGGAAATTATGAGTCAACAGATATGTCTTTGATTGGGGATGAAACCTTCCCCGCTACACACAGCTGATACTTGACCTCAAGGGGGGAGCCTTCCACATGGTAGGTGTCACAACAGATAAATTACCCCCCCCCCAAAAAAAGGATGGTTGGCACACAGCATGGTACCCTGCAGTGCAGGAATCTAGGTTTGCCATATTTCAAAAAGTGAAAATTTGTTGAGCTTTGAGGGGGTTTTTTGGGGGGGGTCAAAGCTGTTTGTCCTAGTGCTTTTCAAATTCTGGCTGTGTCCGAAAAAATTCAGAACATATCAAGGTTCAGGGGTGAGAGGAGTGATCAGCCAATGTCTGGAACTACAGTGCATCAGTGCAAGTAGAAAAATAGGTACCACTGCGGCAGGAAGGTAAATGGTGTTTCTGTGTGCTCTGGCATCTGTCATGGTGTCCCGTTGCACCAGAAGTGGTTTAGTCATGCTGCCCACATGACCCAGAAAGCTGTCTGCAGACAAACGCCGGCTCCCTCGGCCTGAAGCAAGTTGAGCGCCGCAGCCCATAGTTGCCTTTATCTGGACTTAACACTCCCTCCCCTCCCCGTTCCATGTAGAGAAACCAGCTGCACTGGCAGTGAAATCTTATTTCATTCAGCACTGTTGATGTCTTCCACTGTGCATGAAGAAAACAGGCTGGTTTAGGTAGGCTGAGGGTCACACAAAATGCTCTTCCTTCAGTGCCTTGCCACCATTCCATTCACACCTAGCATCTGCTTCACTTTGCCTAATGGTTGGGTCAGTCCTATGAACATGATCAGATTAGCTTTAGCAAACAGCTCCAGGCGTAGCTGCCCCATTAGCTGATTGCCCACCTATTAATCTAAACAGAGTCTCTGCCCCATTTCAATCTCTGGTTAGATCTCAAGGCAACCTATCTATTGGTAGTTTGTATGCACAGGGTGCCACTGTTGGCATTGCAATTATTTGCAAGGGGGGGGGGTAAACAACCAAGGTGCGCTGCATAATGTACCTTTACGCTATGTGACTGCTTTTCAATTCTATCTCTGCCCACAAGGTCTCCTTGATGGGAACTGCTGACATCACACCAAAGGTATTTCATGCACAAACTTATGCTTATGCCAATTTAATTTCTACAGAATTGCCTGCTGTCTTCATCGCATTCTGACCGAGAAACAAGCTAGCATGTATTTGTACATGCTAAGTTATCTTCAAGTTACAGCTGGCAGGGTAAGCTGGGAAAACAATTATTTACACAATACCTGTTCCTAATTATTATTATTTTACATTGTCAAATATAAGAAATGGTAAGAAAGATCAAAGTTAATTTGGAAACAACTCTTCAAAGGCAAGACAACAAACAGGCCTATTCTTCTGGGAATGGGAAATAAATATTTACTATAGAGTCAGAGAAAATCAGACAACAGAACAGATGAAAATGATAATAATGGCAGGGAGAGTGGACTCTGAACCTCTCTCTCTCTCTCTCTCTCTCTCTCTCTCACACACACACACACACACACACACACTTGCAGGGAAAGTGAATTAAGGAAGGGGATGTTAAGGAGATATTAAATGGTTTCCTACTCCAGCATATTTGGATGATCCCCAAAGAGCAACATTAGAAAACCATGATCTGAAAACCATGACAATCTTATTTGAAAGCAAGCACCTTTCTCTCTCTTCTGTTGATAATCCCATAGATATCCAGGTTGTGTGCACAGTCAGTGCCTTTGGATTCTGTAGGGAAGCCACCTGCATGAGGGATACGCGATGCAAATTCGTCTCATTAATCCCATTAAACAGCTGACACTTGCAGGTACCGTACCATTTCTGCTTCCTGCAGCAATACCGTACCATTTCTGCTTCCTGCAGCAGAGTTATTATGCGGTGCTTTGTGTTTTCCCCCAGAGTATCCTCCTGTTTCTGAGGAAGGAATGTTGGAAAAAGCACTTTGGGTTTTCTAACAGTATTTGTGTTTATATGATCAAAACTCAAAATGTATATGGAAACACACACCCCAACAACTACAACTCTAAGTCCCAAACATTGTCAGTTTCACACAATCTATTAATCAATGAAGCCTCAGTTCCACTTAGCTCTGTGTGAATGCAACCCGTGTATAGGACTTCATTTCTTATTGGACTGGGTGACGTTCTGATCTAATGGCACAGTGTTGCAGTAGCACATACCAGCAGCAGTAGGAACTGCTGCAGCAATGAACACCGGTATCTGATCCACCAAAAAGTTATTGGGTGTGAGCCTAAGTTTAGCTGCGCCACGTGGCGTTGCAGTGGAGGTGGAAGCAAAGAATGGCAAAGCCCTTTCGAGATGTTTTTGCTTCTGATTATTTACACACATCAGAAATCATTGTACCACCTACCACCACTCCAATCCAGAAAAGACAGGATTAATGGTAGTGGAGTTCTGCCTGTTCCATATGGGGTTACACTCCTCTGTAAGGATCAGGCTCGTCGTGTTAGGGACGCTTTGCAGTTTGTTGTGCTGACTCTGCCGCTGTGTATTGAGAAATTACTGACTTGATTTGTCTGCTTTATTGGGTGCCGTTTTTATTGTTCAGAATTGTAAATGCCTATGAGAGTTTATCAATAGCAGCATAAAAGTCTTCTAAAATGGCAATAGTAGCTATAGAGCTGCAGAGACACGGAATAGATGGTTTGGGTGTGCATCTGGCCTAGGGTAGTTTTTTTAAATGTATATATAACACCATAGCATAAGCAGCACAGCTTGGCGGTCCGGCACACAGTTAATATTCCTCACATGGAATATATCACAGAAGGCTTTGCACCATATTCAGCCGAGGCCTGAGCCAAATCAGGCTTTCCTGGAGGGATCCGGGCCTCCTCTGAGTCAGGTTCAGATAGCACTACAGGTTGGGTTGAGCAGCCCAGACTGATGGTTCATACAGTGTTTATGTTGTTGTTTATACAGCGACCACAGCTTCCATGACTTGCATTTTGTATTCTATTCACATATACTTGTATATGTTTTCATCCTAACGTTTCAATCTTCGCTTCTGTGCTATTGTGACTTGGGTTCCCGTGACGTTGTCTTTTTTTTGTTACTGGCCTCATCTAAAGCCTCATTGGAATGTACTCTGAGCCACAACCACCTGCTGAACGAGTGGGAGTTGACGCTACCTTGCCCCTTATCATAGATTTGTAGAGTTGGAAGGGACCACTAGGGGCATCTAGTCCAACCCCCTGCAATGCAGGAACCCTTTGCCCAATGTGGGGCTTGAACCCACAACTCCGAGATTAGGAGTCTTGTGCTCTACCAACTGAGCTACCCCAGGATCCATAGCTAAGTGATCTTGTCCTCTCCATCTTCTCAAAAGACTCTTGCACGGTGCTCCTGCACCCTATGGAAGCATTTCCTGGTGTACAGGCTAGCAGAAACTACCTGTGTTTCTGTCGCCCTTGACTAGGGGGCAAGGATAAGCTCCTGGCGCTGCAGCAAGAGATGGCAAAGGATCTGTTTGTGAAGCACCAAGCAGGAAGTGGTTCTTGCAAACAAAAGAATTAGCCCCATAGCTTGTAATATTAAATGGAGGGGCCTAAAGGTTTTGCTCATGCAGGGTAATTTGGGTGCTTGAATGCAGGGGCCATTACACACTTGAGGGATGTGGCTAAGGACGGGACTCTTGTGCTCTCCCAAATAGGCTCAAATCCACGTATTCCAGCTGAACAAGTTTGTGGGTTGGGCTGTTGACTTCCTGTTGACTTAGTAAGTCTTTTCCCCATAGTCACTTCTTTAAAATGTGTCACCATGGTCTGTTTGCACCTCCCTTCCTATATATAGATGGTTTTAGCACCTCATGGATTTGGTGGTGAAGGCAGTAAGGCCCTGAAGCACAGTGGTAGGTTGTGAGAAAGGTTTAAGGGGAACTAAAGTAATGCATAAGATACAGTGGTGCCTCGCAAGACGAAATTAATTCGTTCCGCAAGTTTTTTCTTCTTGCGAGTTTTTCGTCTTGCGATGCACGGTTTCCCATAGGAATGCATTGAAAATCAATTAATGCGTTCCTAGGAGACCGACTTCAGACCAGGTCCGGGGACAGTCTGTCCCCGACCTCTTCTGAAGGCTGGGGGGAACAAGGGCTTTTCTTCCCACCCACCCCAGCATTTTAAAAAAACCCCGGGACAGCGGAGGGCTTCTCCGCTGTCCCGGGGATCTTAAAATGCTGGCGGGCGGCATTTAAAATTGCCCCGGGACAGCGGAGGACTTCTCCGCTGTCCGGGGCAATTTAAAGCCCCTGGGAAGGCAGGCAGGGGGACAAAGACTTTGCCCCCGCCAGCCTTCAGAAGAGGTCCTGGACCTCTTCTGAAGGTTGGCGGGGCGAAGTCTTGTCCCCCCACCTGCCTTCAAAAGCTGTCCAGCCAAGGCTTCGCGGACCTCTCCGCAGAGCAGCGGCAGCACTGCCGCTGCTTGCGGAGAGTTGCCGGCATGCCGAAGCCTGCGCGCGCTGAGATCAGCGCGCCCAGGCTTCGCGGACCTCTCCGCGCGCTGGGGCCGCGCTGCCGCGGCTTGCGGTGAGTTGCCGGCATGCCGAAGCCTGCGCGCGCTGCTATCCGCGCGCCCCGGCTTCGCGGACCTCCCCGCGAGCCGCGGCAGCGCTGCCGCTGCTTGCGGAGAGTTGCCGGCATGCCGAAGCCTGCGCGCGCTGAGATCAGCGCGCCCAGGCTTCGCGGACCTCTCCGCGAGCAGCGGCAGCGCTGCCGCTGCTTGCGGAGAGTTGCCGGCATGCCGAAGCCAGCGCGCGCTGAGATCAGCGCGCCCAGGCTTCGCGGACCTCTCCGCGAGCAGCGGCAGCGCTGCCACTGCTTGCGGAGAGTTGCCGGCATGCCGAAGCCTGCGCGCACTGAGATCAGCGCGCCCAGGCTCGCGGACCTCTCCGCGAGCAGCGGCAGCGCTGCCGCTGCTTGCGGAGAGTTGCCGGCATGCCGAAGCCTGCGCGCGCTGAGATCAGCGCGCCCAGGCTTCGCGGACCTCTCCTGCCTTCAAAAGCCGTCCGGGATAGCGGGAAGCGCTTCCCTGCTATCCCGGACTGCTTTTAAAATGCTGGCGGTGGGGAGCAAAGCCTTTCGGCCCCCGCCAGCCGTACTGGTCCGCTTCTGAAGGCCGGAGGGGGGGGGGAGGCTTTTCTCCCCACCGCGAGCATTTATAATAGGTACCCGGAGATTTCCCTATGGGCTTTCGTCTTGCGAAGCAAGCCCATAGGAAATTGCGTTTATGCGACGCCTCCAAAACGGAAAACCCTTTCGTCTAGCGGGTTTTCCGTCTTGCGAGGCGTTCGTCTTGCGGGGCACCACTGTACTTAAAGATAAAGGGACCCCTGACCATTAGGTCCAGTCGTGGCCGACTCTGGGGTTGCGGCGCTCATCTCACTTTACTGGCCGAGGGAGCCGGCGTACAGCTTCCGGGTCATGTGGCCAGCATGACTAAGCCGCTTCTGGCGAACCAGAGAAGCGCACGGAAACACCCTTTACCTTCCTGCTGGAGCGGTACCTATTTATCTACTTGCACTTTGATGTGCTTTCAAACTGCTAGGTTGGCAGGAGCAGGGACCGAGCAATGGGAGCTCACCCCATTGTGGGGATTCGAACCACCGACCTTCTGATCAGCAAGTTTTAGGCTCTGTAGTTTAATGTGTAAGATACTTGAGAGCAAATGGTGTGCTTTGTCTCAACTCCATCCTTCACAAAAGGCTGTAATAGTTGGGGTTTGTGTTCCCACCAAGGAGAGTAGGAGATGATAAGTTTAAGATGAAGGAAGTGAAAGATGAACTACAATACAATTGAGAGTCATGATGATGAGTAAGCAACAGGGCAAAATTGTGTTTTCAAAGCATTCATCGCTGTAGTTGCTCTTTCACCTTTCAGACTTCTTTCCAGGCTTTTGCCATTTTTGGGTGGGGTTCAGTCCCATCCTGGCACAATTCAGAGCGTGCATTTAAAGCTGATTTGGAGCTTTTGCACAGCAAACCCTATTTCTTTTCAGGCAAGGAAAGTGACTGGGGTGGGGGTGGGGAAGCAATCAAAATGCGGCTTTAACACTTGTTTTGACACAAAGTCTAGCCTTTCCATGAACAAATGGGAGTGGATACTTGTGAATAATCAACTTCATCTAATCTCCCTGCAAACAAATCAGCATGAATGTCCATTAAACCAGTCTGCCAAAGTCATCAGCCACAGTGCTGCATCCTTAGTGCAATGTCTCCTCCGTCACTGAAAACCTTTAGAAATGGGTTGAATCAAAATTTTTGGAGAAAGGTGAGAGAGATTTGTATGGCACCCTAATTTTTTTCAAGAAATCCAGCCCTATTTCTCTTTTTGAATCTTAAATATCTCACAAAATGGCTTATGTACAATAATGAGCAAATGCATGAGAGATAAAGCATGACACCAGTGTCATAAATTGCAGAGGAACGAGACTAATTAAACTGTTAAAGAAGTGCACACATGCAACACAGACCTCTCTCTCTCTCTCTCTCTCTCTCTCTCTCTCTCTCTCTCACACACACACACACACACACACACACACCTGCAGTTAAATTGGGTGGATTATATAATGTGGTGTGTTGCTACAGTAACTCCACTCCACCCCAGTGGCAGCTGGGGGCGGATGCTACTGTGCTGTGAGCCAATGCATTATAATTTCTTTTTCTCCCAATAGAAAATACCCTAGACTAAAAGGGATTTGTGGAGAGGAGGAGGGGAAGTTGAAACCTGTGGCAGGAATTCTCCAGGAAGTACAGCGTGTAGCTTCTCCCTAGGAGTTGTTTTTAACCACCGCCGTTTTGATGCTGCTTGCATAACTTGATAGATCATCTCTAAATAAAACATTTCTCTTTCTCTTTCTCTTTCTCTCTCTCTCTCTGTCTGTCTCTGTCTGTCTCTAACAGGTAACCAAGGTCTGTTTCCAGGCTATACCTGTGTCAACCTTGGGTCAGAACCCAGGACTGGGTTCAGTGTCAAAGGAATATTCTCATAGCTGTCAGCTTTTCCCTTTTCTTGTGAGGAATCCTATTTTGAATAAAGGAATTTCCCTTTAAAAAAGGGAAACGTTGACAGCTATGGATATTCGTATATTAAGTTATGGCTCAAGCCTCCACCCCCCCCAAAACCCCCACCCTTGGACTCCTATTTGGATGTCTCAGTATCAGCCTCCCCACAATATACTGTACTTTTCCGTGTATAACACGCCCCCATGTATAAGACACCCCCTATTTTTGAGGACTAAAAATTAAGAAAATGGGGGGAGATTGCCCAGAGTTGTTGAGCAGACGCCAATAATGTCCCCCCTAGGCACGATCCTTGTATAAGACGACCCCCTATTTTAAACATTATTTTTCAGTAAAAAAGAACCTGGTCTTATACTCGGAACAATACGGCACACCCACTCCTAACGTATGATAGTTACTCAGCTGATAAATATTAATCAACAAGAGTTTCACAATATGGATAACAGTACACAAGTGTATTTTAGCCTAAAATGCCCCAGCTTCTACCAAAGTCCGAAGCATGGGGCTCTTCAGCACTCTCGGGGCACATTGCAATCGGGAACTCCAACAGGTGGTAGCAGAGGGGCTGCTAGAGCAGCTGGCATGCATTGCAGAAAGGGGAGATTTCTGGGCTCCGCAGCTCCAAGCCAATAGGGATTGCTATGCCAAGTCTAGGGTAGCTTTAAACTTCCCCTCAGTGGATTTCAGAAAGAGCGATTTCAGCCGGTGAAGTTTAGCAGTCCCCTGGCTGAAACATTTTACAGGCACCCATTCCAGCCCTCCCTTCTTCTCTCCTTCATAAACAATAAAGCTTTTCCTTTCCCTGACCAAGATCTGTGCTACGCAGAGGCTACATGTGGTCAGGTCAAATCAGCACTGTTCTCTTTCTGAGTGACAAGGAGTTAGCTGGTGAGGAGGCACAATTTGCCCAGGCACCTATCTGTGCGTTAACTTGCTCCAACGGTTGCAGTGAAACATAGATTGCAATTCCACCCAACGTGCAAATGATGAGTGTGGCATGCTGGTTTGGATACTACATTTTCTTTGCACTCGCTGTTTCCACCATGTGGTGGAGTGTATATTTTGTTTTCCCTACAGCTTTATATCTGTCTCAACAATAGCATAGCTACAAGATGAGTTAGGTTGTTTCTATATAAAAAATAGCTACAAGATGTGCAGGGCCTCGGGCAGCTGATTATGAGTGTCATGAAAAGGGCCCAAAATTATTATTTACTTTATTTTTATTATTATTACATTAAACATTTCTGTTTATGGTAGCTAATTCTTATACTG